TCTCGTTTATTGAAAATATTCTTCTCTGCTCCTTCTACTCATACAGTCTCGGTCTGTGCTCTTCTCTTATGGCGAAAGACTGAAATTCACATCCTTACAAAGAGATAAAAATTATGGGTTTGTTTACATTAGGCTTCAGAGCAGTAGAAATGAATTGTGGTAAGGACTCCACAAACTTAACACGCTCTTAACTTATTCCTACAATACTGTACAAAATATGATTTTTTTCTGTTGCTCTGTTAGGATACCTTTACATTACGTAAGGCAGTAAAGGTTGTTTAAGCTAGAGAATACATTCTTTAAGACAGCGGTGGAACTTCGAGCACCCTTACAAGTAGGACAGTATCTTCACGCGCAGCATATGATTAAGTTACTCTGAAAATCTGCCATTGAAGTATCAAAACACGTTTAGGACATAATTTTTCTTAATCACTTGAACATGAAAATGTTCAGTTGCTGTAGTGACTCTAGCCTTTTACAGCAGCCGTTCTCTTCTTAGTGGAAGAGTTCTTCAACATGGCCAGAGAAACTTAAAGTTTTAAGCGTGTCCGATATATGTCTCAAGGGATGTATAGCTCATATTTGACTTCGTGCTGATGTAGAATACGTTGGCGTCTCATATAACGACATTGTCATGTAAATATGTGTACAGTCAGTGTAGGACCACGTGGAACAGGGATTAATGTGCTTTTCCTGCAGAATGTTATAAGTTAATACGGCACACACAACACTGCTTGGAATTTATACTAATTGAATAAAATATAAGTAGTTACTATAGGATTCTGACGATGATGTATAACACACTGATATGTTGGGGTTTTGGACTTTATCCATCGTCCTGGTTTTTAAGATAACAAATAAAAACACGACGTTTCGGAAACTGGATCTGTTTCCGTCCTCAGGTGAAGGAAAACACCTATTCAGTTGGGTCCCTTAGAAAGAGCTAGCCTCAATCACTGGNAATCCATGTATATACACTGGATCGACGTGAATAACAAATATATCTGCTTATGGCTTAAGGGCTATGAGTTACTGCAAATAGTAAAGAGAGGTGTTGCTTTTCACAAACTACAGAGACAAACGATTAAACTGTGATTGAAACTACAGAAAAAATTGTTACGTATTGTAAAAATCGATTGAAACCCTGGTCACGATACACCCATAATAATAACAAATTTGTTACACAATTAGATTTCAGTTGTATCACCTAGTATTACGTACCATCGAACGGGATGTAGTAAGACTATTATGAAGGAAGAACTGAGAAAGGTGCGGTAGGGAACGGTCCTGATTTAGTGTAACGTGAAATTCCAGAATCTCCGTGAGAAATGAGAAAGAGGAAACTCCTGCTGGGACTCGAACCGAGTACGTTTCTGATGCGAGTCTTACGTGTTGTCGGTGTGTAAACCAAGCAGAACTATAATGAAATCCTGATAAGTCACTTACTTTAATTTGTGGATTACACCAATACTTCGCTGTTACGCGTTCATTGCACCAAATTCACAGTATTTACACAAAAACTGGAAGTCATGTCTGTCCGTCCATAAGTTTCATCACCATAGCTACCGGCAGGATTCAGAATAAATTTAGTATGCCGGGTCTGTACTAAAGACCCTGGGGGCGAATTGCTTTTTCGTTCCAGCTGGTTCGGTCAGGGAGCAGGGATAGCCCAGTCGGTACACCGACTGGCTACATGCTGAACGGCCTAGGGGTCGGAATTCGAATGCCGGTAGGGGAAGATCTTCTCTCCACGTCGTCCAGACCGGTTGTGGGGCCCAGCCAGCCTCCTGTCCAATGAGTACCTGGGGCTCTTTACCCTGGGGTAAAGCAACGGGGGCGCGAAGCTGACCCTTCACCTGCAACTAGTGTCGAGGTCAAGAATACTTGTGTCTATACATCCATTCCACATACACCTTCATGGCGGAGTGCTTAATTAGTTAAGCACAGGGGCAAATTTACATTTTTGCATTTACTAGTTCAATGTAACCTCTACTTTATATGAAATTAGAATTTGACTTTTATTAATTACGTTGTAAAGAGTTATCATAAAGCACTGATATACAGCATAAAATATAGACCTTACTGAAACGTACGTAATTCATTCGAAACATTGCGCTATAAAGTTGAGATTTAACGAAGCGAATGGACAGAGTATATTGCTCTTTGCAGTTTAATATTTATATTATGACTAGCTTTGTAGTAATGAGTATTTATGTGCAACAATAAACTTTAATCTGCAATAAATGAACATCAAGGCCAAAGAGGTATACAAACACGATATTATGAATACAGTGCATGAATGCAACATCGCGTTACTACAACGTGAGTTCATTTATTATTTTATAAGCTTAGAAGAACACTTCTTCAACAGACTGTACTGAGTGTCGGGACACTGCTACATATGCAGCCCACATCACAGTCGCTCTCCTCCGTTTCTGGTCGAATGTCCTTCACTAATAATTTATCTGCGTGTAATAACTTCGTCCATAATATATCAGCTCGCCCCACTGCCCACAGTAGCGCCAAGATTCCCTAGCAGAGGGACATAGCAAATGCCGTTCTTATAGAAAATCTCCGAGTTTTCTTAACAAACTGTGCTAAAAAATGCAGTTTTTCATTTTTGTGACACTCTTACATGTATATTTATATTTCCGTTGCCAATTTACGCCTGTACACTACATAGTGATCGCTTTATGTACTGAATGGTTACCAAGCAGCGACCCTGTGATGGGCAGAAATAGTTTTCGTCCAAGACGCCGGTTATGGCAGCGCGTTACACGATCGGAGACGCGGAAAAGGAGGAAATTGGACGTAATGATTTTATATATAATGTGTTGGCCTATATGCTGCAAACAAGAGCCGGTATAGTGACTGGCTACGGGCTGGACGACCGAGGAATAGCATTTCGAGGCCCGGTAGGGTAAAGAATTTTCTTCACGTCGTCGAGACCGGCTCTGGGGTCCAACCAACCTCCTATACAAAGGGTACCGGGGTCACATTTCCCGGAGGTAAGGTGGCCGGGGAATGAAGTGGACCACTGACCTCCAGCTAGTGCCGAGGTCCACTCCCCCATACGTCTTCATGGTGTAGTGCTTGATTAGTTAAGCCAGGGACAACTTTACCTTATTACCTTTATATACTGCAAATTTTATGAAGATGAAATTGAAGTATTCAGTTCTCCCCAGGTAGAGTGACTTCATTCATTCGGCCCACCTTTATTGACATAAAATAATGTCAGAACGTGAATAAATATTCAGGCGTGCAACAAATATCGATTCCGTTTTTGGATAACAACACCATCTTGTGGCGAGCTTAGTTGCCGACGTTTCCTAGAACATGACTGTCTACGGAGGCCTCCAGGGTTTCACGACAGTATGTACCAAATCTTGTTTCCATTGTTGTGTTGTGGTGAGCACGTTTGTCGACTTTCCAGGGGACATGCTAAGTGACTCAAGAGTACTGTATTCTGTGGTGTAGAGTCGCGTAATCCGATAAAATTTCACTGACCTATCTGCTTTCCACCTGCTTCATACTGCTTCCTTGCTTGACTTACCATTCAACCTTGGAGGTGGAGGCTGTACATTCCTCTGAAACATCGATGAACCTGTCTGAACGATGTTACATTGCAGAAGATATATTATTGATTCTGATTGTTTGAAATAAATATCCTATTCCGGGCACTGAAAATTTTTTACGATTCATACCCGTGTACACATTCATGGTTTTTATATATTAAACGACGCTAGTATCGCCTGGATATCAAAGAGTTGGTCACATTAATATTAAAACCATAACAAATATGGACATGACTTCCTATAGTCCGACTTTCACAGATTTTTTTCTATTATTTCTTGCAATTTCCAGTCTACTCTACAAGGGAGCAATAAGTAAATATGTTGTAAGAAATCACTTGTGCGGGGTGATCATCCAGTGATGATTCTCCTATGTAGTATAGTATGCACTATGTTGCTGAGTACGGCTACCCATCTTCAACAGTGTGTTCGTTTCACAGAAATGTTAATGAAAATTGGCCTGTTTATTCAAAATGTTTTAAAGGGAACGTACATAAACACACACAAACACAAAGATATGTACATTATGATAAGGTTTCTGTATAAAGCAGGGAAAGTATGCTAAACATTTGAACTCATAAATGAAGTTTCTGAAATTAAAGTGGGTCTCTGCGGATGTCACTGATTGCGTGCTCACAATCTAACGCCATATAAATAAGATCTAAAAGTTTGTGATGATGGCACATTAGTACAAATGTTTCTGGACAATATCCGTCGTCCTGTCTTTATCTAAAAACGCTGTCCTGTGTATTTTTCAAAACACAACGTTTCGGAGACTGGATTGTGTCTCCGTCTTCAGGTAAAACCTATTCAGTTGGGCCCAATCGATAGAGCTAGTCCTTATCTCCGGACACCTGTCCCAGTTCCAGGATCGGGTATACAAGCCAAACAGCAACACAAACCATCTGCGGGAGCGAAGAATCCAGCCTCCGGATTGTTGTGTTTTGAAAAATAAAAGAGGACTATGTTTTTAGATAAAGACTGGTCGATGGATAATGTTCCAAAAGCGTAATATTTGTATAACGCCATATAGTCAATGAGATTGAGAATTCGAATCTCTTTCGGGAAATAGATGTTTGACCTAAGCCTTGTATGCTGTCCACGACCTTACCATGAAATGATCCTGCGTGCAATGACATCTACTGTTTCCTGAATAGGATTTAGAAGTTATCTGCAGTAGGCAAGACAGAGATTCGTAACGAGGTCTACTGCCAGTCAGAAGAAGAAGATGATGAAAGGGTAGTATGAGAAGGGCAAGAAGTACAAGAACGATAAAATGAAGAAATACTAGTACACATGGTGGCAGTAATAGTAGTAGTGGAAGCAGTAATTGAAGAGGTAAAGGGGTTAGAAGTGGAAGATTAAGCATGAGAGTGGGAAATTATAATTCAGTGATGACTTTGTGAAACTAACTTATGGTACTTTCAGCTGAACCCTTCGCAGAATCGTGCGCGTTGGGTTTCTGCAGGACATGCAATGAAGACACCTGTGCTGAGGATTTCTTGTCAAGGTGAGGGACGAAGAAGGTGCAAAGCATGTACTGAGACGCCCTAATTGAAAATCTGAAGGCTCCGGAAGTTGGAAATCCTGAAGATGACAGCCACTCCATTTATTTCCTGTAACCCTTCGCGAGCAAGAGGGAATTAAGTTCAGTGTTTTAGATTCCAGACTAAAAACCCTCTTAATAAATTTTGTTTAAACTAACTCTTTTGTTACAGAATAGATAGGTTCAACGCCACTGATGCCAGTCTTGATCACGCCACTACGTCTGTTCATATCTTCACAATGTATTTTCCTAATCTCCACACTAATACTATCTTATCGCCCCTTTCTTCGTCTGTCAAGTACCAGCTTTCCAAAAGGTGCAGTTTTTGCTGTTTCACCTTTTAAATAATGAATGGGAAAATTTCAATCGAAAAGTTTACTGAGAAGGAAAAGCTCAGCTTTTTAAAAAATGAAAGCCATGTAAAATTTGTAGTCGATAAGGGATTTTAAATTCTTACGGCTGTGGCTCTCTAGATGAAGCACTGTCCTTTTTACATGTGATGTCTTATTGTCTAGTAGAGCTTTACGGAATTCACGGAGGGAAAAATGCTGCCTCCATCTTCAGGGGTAGAAGTCTTTAAATTTATATGATTAAGTATTATCAAAATCACAGGCCTATTTGTCAAACAATTGTGTGTATTTACACCTAAGGTAAGGCTAGATTTGTTCCTGTGCTTCACAACGTATGAGAGCATGGAGGTAAATCTACACTCATTGTTACCAATTGCACTAGGTACAAGTGAGTGAGAGAGACTTAAGCACCGTCTGCTTTACTGCCAAGAAAGGAGTAGTTTGTATAAATTGGAAAGGAGGTTTGGTTGGCTTTACAGCAGGTCTGCACGCTGTGGCGAGAAAAGAAAATCCTTGCCCCTACAGGATGTCGAACACAAGGCTTTCACCCCGTAATCACATACTACACTGACTGAGCTATCCAGGCCCGTATATTCTGGTAACTAGAGCTACACAAGTGACTGATCTAGTGCTACTGAAGAATCCGTATAACCTATATTCTGGAAACTGTTGGAACAATTTGTGAACGGTAGGAGGGTCTACTTTGTTAACCCCTGATGCTCTGAACTCAAATTGTGAAGTACATGACATTTATGTTTAGTCACATTATAGCACATACATGTTTGAAACCCGTGACACACAACATTCATATATTTCCTTATACGGCAGTTTGGAGTTTCAGCTACTGTCACACGATTTTATCACAAGTTGGAGTAGGTATATGAAGTAAAGGAGATGAGATGGACGGAGCATATAGAGCGCAGAAATTACCCATCTTTCTCTTAACTTACAGGGCATCCACTTACGACATTACGGACTTGACCACAGCTAGCCTAGTGTTCGGGAGAGAACTCCGACTGCCCTGCGAACTCCTCTTTGGGGCACACCCCATTGAAGAACGACTCACAATCGATAACTTTAGTCGATCGTCTACACGACATCCACAACTATGGCCCCCAACACCTGAGGCTGGCCGGTGACCGGATGAAAACTTGTTGCGACAGACTAGTCAACTGCGCGGGCAACCACAAAGGCGACAAAGTGTGGCTCTGTCACTTACTCGCACGAAGATGAAATCGCCTAAGCTCCAATCCTCATTGGAGGGCCCATACAAGGTACTCACCCGGATAAATGATGTGATATACAGGATCCAGCGGAACCCTAGATCAAGGTTGATAGTGGTACACCTGGACCGGCTCGCATCTTATCGGGTAGCCGCTCGAGACGAACGGCCTTAAGAAAGCAGAGGAAGCATTTGGAGAGTAAACACCATGTAAAGTCCAGCCCAGGACGAATAGCGTTAAAGAAGGAGCACTGGGGCGTATAGTTCATTGCTAAGTGTTGACTTTGTTAACACCCGCAACATGCACGCAAAATAGTTGAACGGTGTTTTATGTGGTCCGTGGCCCTTTCTGAGCATGGGCTCGGTAAACACATTCTCGCGGCAACGGACACGAAGACAAAACAGAAGAACGGTGCTATCTGTATGGTACGTGCTGAGATGTTATAAGAAAGGGGCGAAGTTAGTTGCTAGTTGAGTTCTGTACGGGAGACTGTGAAGCAAATAGTTAGTTGCAAGAGTGCTCTGTAGAAAGTCTGGCTGTGAAGAGAAGAATTTATATGTGATATTTGTCATGTGTAATTTAATGAGAATGTTGTAGTTCCTGTGGTAAAATTCGTTGCGAGGAAACGGCTAGAGGAGACTGTAATAGACTGAAGACACTAGTCTGTGTGTGTCAGTGACCTGTAAAGTGTAGCCACGAGTAGTGTGGATAAAAATGGCCAATCCGAACGCCGTCTCTAGTCACACATACACATGACAGTAGATACAAAATTGAAAGATTTACGTGTAGGGAAGCAGATAATATTACAACTGATCTTACTTTAATAGTGTGTAAGGATACTGGTTTGATTCATTTGGCCGAGGGTAGAGTCTATGGCAGGCTGTTATTAGCATGATACTGAACCTCAGGGTTTCATGAAGGGCAGAAATTTTGTGACATGTTTTCAGCAAAGACTTAATCTATGGATTTTTTTTTATTTCTAGTAAGGTGGGATTAAGTCCCTTGTACTGCGGCCACTTCTGGCCTATTGTACCAGCCCCAGATGATAGGTGAGGGTGATTGTGGAGCAATTGGTGGAATGAAGATTGGCAGGGGAAACCGAAGTACTCGGAGAAAACCTGCCCCAGCTCAACTTTCTCCACCACAAATCCCACGTGACCAGACCCGGGATCGAACCCTGGCCGCCGCGGTGGGAAACCAGCGACTAATCGCTTAAGCTATGGCGCGGCCCCTACTCTATGGAGTTAATTAGCAACTTCTTTATTTTCATACATTTTTGGTGTTGATGTTCATTTACTGTAAATAAAATATGTTGTTGCATAGGTAGCTACCAATAAAATTATGAAGCTTCGTAATATGTAATTTCCTTCATTCTCATATTAATTCATGTTTCTTGGGTGTAAATATTTGGTAACACTTTGTTATAAAACACGCTCTATTTATATTTTTCCCATGGAACGAGGGACCAAGTTACATCTTCATGTGTGTAACAGCTGAAAGTATAGTTTTTTACATAGTTTTATCTTCAGGTTCTTTATTGGCCATTACTTCGTATTGACATGTTAACCATTTTTCTGTCAATCGAACCATTACATTCTGCAACATTTAATTTAATTTCTGTATGTATGGAAAGTTTGAAGAACGCGATGTTAGTCTAGAATCCCATTTCTCACACTTCACTGCGTGGAAGGAACACATTATTAATGGAACATGGGTGTTTCTTAAAAACATGGATAGGCTGCTAGTTCCTGTGCTGGGATGTGCCGGCAAATCAGCCTTGTAGGAAGACGTTGTAGAGAGGCAGTGGGGCGGATCATTCTGAACAAGGGATATGCATTAGTGAGGAGCTAATTCCACTGCCACAACAATCCGCAGTGACCACCCCAGCGAACAAAGTCTACTACATCAGTAATACATTGACAGACAGATTGCAGCATCTGTAGGAACTGTGACAAGGCATTGGAAGGCTGAATATAAATTTAAGAAATATACAGGGTTTGGAATCGGACTAGTAGTAGCAAAAGGAACCGGTCACGGTAGCCGAGCGGTCTAAGGCATGCACTGCCTTCGCTCGCTCGGAAGCCGGGATCGTGGGTTCGACTCCCACTCAGGGCATGGATGTTTGTGTGCGTTTTTCTGTGTTTGTCTACAGGTAGAGGCCTTGCGACGAGCTCATCACTCGCCCAAGGAGTCCTACCGAATGTGTAAGATCTAGAAAAACCGAAGTGAACGGAGAAGTTCATGGAGGTAGGCCTAGGCCCACTGGGGCTGTAGTGCCAAGGGGGGGGGAGTAGCAAAAGGAACGTAACTTGCAGCATATGATAAGCTGCAGTTTAGCAGGGTCTGAGTTAATTGGCCTGTGTTCAAGTTTCAGGTTTTTAGAGAGGTTCATTTCACTGTTAAAATATTCACATAGACAGTGCTCTAACAGAGACATTCCTCAAGGTTGATTGGTATGAAGTCTTTTTGATTTAAAACAGCATGTCAAAATAATTGTAAAATATTTATAATTAATCGACTGAACTATTTACTGCTAATCTCATTTGTAGTTCTAATGTACTTCTACTACTACCACCACCACCACCACCACCACTCAACAAGCTGGAAAGTCGTGGGATCGAGTCCCGATGAGATTATTTTTTTTCAACTGACCTAATCCTTCCAGCCACACTATGGCCCTGGGGTCGACTTAGCCTCTAACAGAAATGAGTACCAGGAATCTACTTTGGGAGCTAGAAGGCGGCCGGCGCTTAAGGCTGACAACCTTACCGCCATCTGTGAGCCGATTGTCTAGAAGATATGGGAGTCTAAATTTATGGAGTCCGAAGGTTCATTGTTGTATTCAAAAGAGCCCTCCACTGGTCCCTATCCTGAGGCAGGTCGTTCCAGTCCGTATGATCCCATTCTATCTCTCTAAGATACATTTTAATATTGTCCACCCACCTACGCCTTGGTCTTCCCTTTGGTCTCTTTCCTTCTGGCTTTCCCACCAATATCCTATACGCATTTCTCGTCTCCCCCATTCAGCTACATGCCCAGCCCACATCATCCTTATTGACTTGATCATTCTAATTATACTAGGAGAAGAGTACAAGTTATACTTAATATTACGCTTGATTTTATAGGCATTCAGTTGACCGAGAAGACTGGGTGTTAGCTGCGTTAGTTGTCATGCTACGACAGAAATCAGAGTTTAAATTAAGAGCACAAAGTAAATGTATGACCAGGCTGGCATTGCCTTTTGAAACTAATATCAAGATAGTATTCTGAATTATACCAAGGAAGAAACATTCTCTTGTAAATCAGAAATCTTATCTTATCTTTATTGTTTTTTTAATTCGCTCAATGGAGGTGGAGTCCAACTGGTTCCACTGGCACGGCGGCTACAGATTGGCCTATTGTAGCCTCCCCGGGTGATTATGATAATGGATAATTTGGTGGAATGAAGATTGGCAGGGGAAACCGAAGTACTTGGAGAAAACCTGCCCCAGTGCCACTTTGTCCACCACAAATCCCACTTGACCAGACCCGGGATCGAACCCCGGCCGCCGCGGTGGGAAGCCAGCAACTATCCGCTTCAGTTATGGCGCGGCCTTATCTTTAAGTATTTACCTACGAACCAGACTGGAGTTTCTGCTGGAACAGTGCCATACTCATTCTTTATAGATGGAAAAGATTCAGTACTTTTTACCTTATATGGCATAATTCTGCTAGAAGCTAGGAGCTAAGGAAACCGCATAATTTAACAAAAAAATCTCATTGTGTCTTAGCTATGGGTTTTAAATTTGGAATACATCTCTACACTCATTGTGGAGGGTGATTGTAAATGATAAATTAGGAAAGATATTAAAAGACTTATTCATGGCATATATGCTCTAGAGAGACTGAGCAAATACACGAAAATCCCGATTTACGATAGTCGGCTTTCAGGCTGAGAATTCAACCCGGGATTTGTGGAATTGAAACCAGGTTTGTAAACGGCTCAAGGTTAATAAACGAAAACAGGCTAGATAGACAGATAGTGCCTCCAAATAACGCGTTCCTTTTTTACACTTTATGCAAGTGTATGAAAGCATAAATCATAGTGATGTTCAACACAAAAGAAACTGTAAAAAACATTAAAATAATTTGTTATAAAATGGCCGTAAAATATTAGTAAATATTATGTAGAATCTGAGGAGATGAATAAATTAAATATTTGTGTTAATCGTGACTTTCCATTGGAAAATAGTGTTCCGCACTGTGTCAGGAACTCAAAACGTCAGATATGCGTTACACTAATAAGATGTGGTTTCAGAGTTTGCGGGGACTTTGGCCAGTATTCAGTGCGAGACCCAAGCTGTGAAAAATTCTGTGGGGCATGGGTGTATGGTTTACGCTTTATTATTTATTGGAAGCAACGAAAAGAGGGAGCGAAACATGTTTTTAATGCACTTAGAAGCTTTTTGACCCTTCTCCCTCTCATGCTAGAATGATGTAATCCGTCCTCGACAGCAGGGACATAGAAATACTAGTGGAAGATATCTAGCAGTAAAAAGCGTGTGCGCTGAAATTTTACTGGTGTTCACCACGGTTTAAATCTGACACACAACTCTGTTATTAACTTTCCTAGCGAATCTGCGCGCTGAGGTATTAGCTCTTAGTTCGCCGTGCTACTACTAGATGGGACTAGATGTAATCGACATAGCGCTATCCAGCAGCTGTTTCCGGAAGGAGTTTCGTTGATATGGCGCGCAAGTGATATTAGGCCTGCTTGCGAAAGGTGATTCGTTAAATATCAGAAGAAAGCAATGACAGTGAAAGTAAAAGATCTGCTCTTTCAGATAACTAAAACAGTGTTACGTAGTGACAGTGAACGTGATTGTGTGTTAAGATTTCAGTGACTCACATAACGGCGACAACTATCTTTAACCTTACTAAAGAAGAGAACGCAGGTAGGCGAAACCCAACGTTGCTTTACTACCTATTATGTAGGCATGGCATTGTAAGTTGAAGTCTGGTCATCAAAATTTAGGAACTAGAAGTAGATGATCTTTAGCCCACTGAACGACGCTCTGCGACACAGCAGAAGTTATCTAGTTTTGAATGGGATGATGTTGAGACCTTCTCTCCCTTAACAGCAGAATTACAATACGTAAATCTTTTTTTATTAAGTGGCCTAGTTCCTGCCGGTCACAGTGGCCGCACGGCCTAAGGCGTGCTGTCTTCGTCCGCTCAATCACTGGGATCGTGGGTTCGAATTCCGCTTGAGGCATGGATGTCTGTGTGCGTTTATTCCGTGTTCATGTTGTTTTGTATATAGGTAGAGGCCTTGCGACGGGCTGATCCCTCGTCCAAGGAGTCCTACTGACTGTGTATAGGATTAAGAAACTGAAAAGTGGCGAAGGCCCAACAGGGGGCAGTAGGGCCATAGACAGTTCCTTATAGCTATCAATGTTGATTTTAATCCGAATGTCTAAGGACGGCAGATACCCAGTTTGCATTCCTTCGCCTGTGCCTGTGACGCCATTCAAACGCAGACGAAGGGATGGGATTCAGGTGGCTTCTGATAGATGCTGGCTAGATAATAGTAGGAGTCTTGAGTTCCTCTTTATGGCACAGGGGTGTGCATTCAAATAGAGCAGGTTATTTATGGAATAAGAGGTTATAACTGGTGTCATGGATGTCGGCCGATTGGAAGTGAAGCAGACATCTGTCCTCCTCATTTGGATTTTTGGAAATAAGTAGAAATTGAAAAAAAGAAGGAAATAGACCAAATAGTCATAAGAAGGCAAAATTATTTTAAAAAATATTCTTATATTGTGAATTCTCTAAAGTGATTTACTTACTTACTTACTTACTCATGGAGCTGAGCCCTTCTGGAAGAGCGGCCAATTCTGCAGCTACTCAAGAATTTCCCAGCATTTTATGGAACTCAAAGGTTCATTTTCGTCTTCACAAGAGCCCTCCACTGGTACCTATCCTGAGCCAGATCTATCCAATTCATACCATCCCATCCTCTCTCTCTAAGATCCATTCTAATATTGTCCACCCA